GACCCCAAAAGCAGCGGGGTGCAGGTGGCGGTGCCACGGGTGGGGGGTCCCCGGTGTCCCCACCCTGCGCGTCCCCGGGGCATCGCCCCGCGCCCGGGTACCACTGGGGTGGCAGGATGGGTGCCTGTGCCCGTCGCCATGGGAACAGCCCTTCTCCTCCTCTCGTCTCCATGGTGACGGTGAGGAGGATGGGGATGGTTCCCTGGCAACGGGAAGGGGGGGGGTGTAGGGTACCCCCCTCTGGGGCTGGCGATGGGGAGACCCCGGACGGACAGACAGACAGACAGACGGCTCCTCGGGCGGAGGGACGGCAATGCCTGGGAGGGACCGGGCACCCCAGGACACCCGGTCCCAGCGCCCACACCCCGGGTATCCCCTGCTGAAGGGTGCTGGGGGGAAACTGAGGCACGAGGGTAGGCAGAGCGCACGGAAGGGTGCCGGCGCTCGGTGCCGGTGCCTGCCACCGGGCACGGAGCGAGGCTGGCAGCCGGCACGGGGACGGCAGGGCACTGGCTGCCACCCCGGGCATGGAGCGAGGCTGGCGCCGAGGCCGGCCTGGTCACGATGCCGGTGCCAGGAGCAGCCCCGAGCCGTGACTCAGCAGCTCCCGGCCGCCTCTGGCAACTCAGCACCGCCGCGGCCTCCTCCCGGCACCGTGGGGTGGCAGAGCACCGGGAGAGGGGCCACGGCCCCCAGCGGCGCAGGCTGGGGGGGACCAGGCTGCGCCCCCGCAGCCGGAGGGGCTGGAAGGGAGGTGGCAAGGAGCAGCAGTGTCTTGGTGGCCAGATGGCCGCTAATCCGCCCCCAAAGCCCTTCCTGGCAGCCGGCTCCGGTGCGTCACGGCCAGGAGGGTTTTCCTGACCCACCTTGTCCCCACCTCGGCCGGGGCGCACGTGGCCGGCGGGACACGGGGGACACCGCGTGCGCGCGCTGGGGCGTGCGGGGTGGAAGGGGACGCTGCGGGGGCACTGGGCCAGGCTCAGGGCTGGCACAAGGCAGGGCAGGATCCAACCCTTCCCGGTTAGAACCCCCCAGGGCACCGGGGGTCCTGCCGCTCCGGCTGGAAGTGGCACGGCACCGGAACGGGCCCTGCCCGTCCTCCCTCCCCTCTCGCACTGCGCAGCCGCCTGGGGACAAAGCCCCGCTAATAAGACAGGAATAAGAGAGGCTGGGATGGCTCTTAATCCTAAGCCTTGGCTCAAGCCGGCTTCCCCCGGGAGCTGAGCCGGGGCTGTGGTGAACCGGGTCCCGCCGAGCGTCGGCGTGGAGCCATCTCCCGCACCGGGAAACAGCAAAGCTGCGTGCCGACCGGCACCGACGCCAACCGGCACCCCAAACCCCGGCACTGTACAGCGGTGGGTTTATTCAAACACGTTTCTAACACGGACAGGCGTTGCCGGAGACGCCGGGCAGAGCGGCGCGGTTAGCTCGCCATCTCTTTGGCCATGGCCTTGTTGAGCTTGTCTTTGAGGTAGGCTGTCCGCTGCCGCTCCAGCTTCAGGTCCAGGAACTCGTAGTGGGGAACCTGTGGCGGGGGAAGAAGAGGCGATGCCATCAGAGCCCCGAGACGCGCGACAGAGTCCTGCCTCTGGCCCCCGAGGAGTGTCCGTAACCTATTTTCGGTTAGCTCGCCATCTCTTTGGCCATGGCCTTGTTGAGCTTGTCTTTGAGGTAGGCTGTCCGCTGCCGCTCCAGCTTCAGGTCCAGGAACTCGTAGTGGGGAACCTGTGGCGGGGGAAGAAGAGGCGATGCCATCAGAGCCCCGAGACGCGCGACAGAGTCCTGCCTCTGGCCCCCGAGGAGTGTCCGTAACCTATTTTGAGCCTCCGACGTCCCACGGCAGGGACGTGGGGCTCGCGGGGCACCGCCGCCGCCGTGGGCGGCCCCTGGCGGGGCCCCCCCCCCGCCGGGGCCCAGGTCCCCCCCGGCTCCCCCCCGACGGTGGCATCGGCACCCGGGGGATGAAAACGCAGACAATTCAGGACTGTCCCCAAATCAGCCTGCGTCACCACCACCGAACAACGGGCTTCTGTGAGCAGCCGGGAGGGCACGAAGCACCGGGAGCTGTACGGGGACGGCTCGCAGCCGTGTAGTACTGGCCCCAGTGCGCCCTGGGGCCGGCCCCCGCCACGGCAGAGGCGGGCACCGAATTTGACGAGGCTGCGGGGGCGAGGGCACCCTCTGCTCCCACCCGACGGTGGCATCGGCACCCGGGGGATGAAAACGCAGACAATTCAGGACTGTCCCCAAATCAGCCTGCGTCACCACCACCGAACAACGGGCTTCTGTGAGCAGCCGGGAGGGCACGAAGCACCGGGAGCTGTACGGGGACGGCTCGCAGCCGTGTAGTACTGGCCCCAGTGCGCACCCTTCCCCGCGTAGGGGAGGATTTAGAGCAGCGCCTCCGCCGCCAGAGTCCCCGGGCCCTCGCCGAGGGCCGAAACCTGCTTAATTTTTCATGTGAGATGCTGAGGACGTGCAGGGCTCCATGGTTCTGTCGTTGGCCCATCCCACCCTCCCCCCCGTGCCTCTCCCAGCAGCCCCAGCCTGGCGCAAGGCAGATGAAATGTTTATTCGGAGCGAAGTCGCAGGCGGGAGGAGGGCAGGCAGGCTGGGGAAGAGGGTCAGGAGCCCGGCACTTGCTTTCTGGCCAGCGGCTGACAGCTCCAGCGGCGTTACACCACCGGAGCCGGGCTGCCGTTCCTCAGCGGTGCCTCCGGCAGCCTGTACGAGGGAGCAGCCTTGTCTGGGGGGATCCCACCACCCACCCCTGCCTCTATATTTAGCAGCCGGGAGGGAAGGCTGAAGCTGCGGGAAGAGGCACTTCCCTCCTCCTCCCGTCTCCCTCCGAGCCTCCCCAGCCAGCGCGGGGGCTGCGGGGGGAATTACGCAAACGGCTGGGAAAAAACAGCGCCGGTGAACCTCAAACCTCGCTTCGCATCAGCCTCAAAGCGCGGCAGCAGGGGGGAGGACGCTGGGGAAACGCTGAAGCTCAGGGTCCTGGCGGGGAAGGGGGGGGCAGGCTAGGGACAGCACTGTGGGGTGACAATGATGTTGCTCTGGGGTGAGAGGTGGCCCTCCGGCCCCCAAGGAGCCACGCTGCCGGTACGCAGCTCAGGCTGACCGCGGGCTCCGCAGGGCGAGGGGCAGAGGGACGGCTCCCCAGCGCAGCCGGCGGGAGGGCAGGGCTCGCTGCCTGCCAGGAGAGCTATAATTACCTCCGGAAAGCTAAATAATGCATGACCCGGCTGGAGCACAGGGCTCCGGTGCAGGGGATCAGCGCCCTAAGACCTCATCTGTCGTCCTCCTTGATTACCAGATCCCTCCCCGCCGCCTTCGGGCCGCCTGACAGGTGGCCCAGAGGGGATCACAGCCACTAATCCCGGTGCGGGCAAGGAAGGAGCGCTCAGGGCCAACGTCAGGAAGAAGTGAGGGGAGCAAGAAGGAAGGTGGTAGCCCCCCCCCAGAAGGTGTTTGCTCCTCCATCTCCATGGAATTACAGATCCCTCTCTTCCCCGTGGCTACTCACATCCACCACAAGGAAGCCGGCTGCCTGGACGTGGCGCCGGGCCATGACGTAGCGGCCCAGCAGGTCCTTGCTTCTGTTGCTGAAGTTGGGGAATTCCCACCGGAGGAAGGCGACCCTGGGAGATGCACAAGGGATGGGAGGCTGTGAGATTTGTGGAGCCGGCAGCAGCACCCGGATCCTGAAGGGAGCCGCGGCAGAAGGGCCTGCTCCAGCGCTGCCGACTGCCCCGTGCCAGCGGGACGCAGATTTGTCCTGCTGGTGCCGTTATCCTGCCCCTGAGCTGTCAGAGAAGCACCAGGACAGCGGCTCAAGCGTAATTTATCCACAGCCCAGGCCTGGTGGCAAGCTGAGCGGGGCGATGCTGCCTTTTTCCAGGGGAGGAAGGAGGCAGCTGAGTCCCCGGGGCCCTGCAGACAGCCGGGCTCCATGGCAGACAGACCTGGCAGAGGCTCTCTGGAGAGAAAACCATGGCCACAACCGGCGTCCGGCCCCCTCCCCTGCAGTGCCTCCACCAGCTCGTCTGGGCAGAGCAGCCCCGGCTGCAAAACGTTGCCCCACACGGGGCTGGCACAGCCCTACCCCAATTTCTGTCCTGTGCCCACCCCCTCCTGCTCCCAAACGAGGGGGGCCGCAGCTGGGCATGGCGTCCTTGGCATGCTGGCAGCCCCCGCGGCGCTGCCGTGAGCCACCGACGAAGGCAGAGCCTTCCCCCTCCTCTCCCCACGAGCTCCTGCCCGGACGGCGGGGCACAGCTGAGCCCAGACCCACCTCCTGGCGCCCAGCGGCAGCGGCTTTGTCCCTTCCGAGCGGAGCAGATGGGGAGCAGCAAAGTCCTTCAAGGGGAGAGGTTTATTTTCGCTGTTCACCACCATCTCGGCATCTGCACGGAGAAGGAGGGAACACAAGGACTCCCGAGACCCGCCTGGATGCTGCTCACACCGCCTCCCCCGAGGCTGGCGACGTGCGGTCCTGCTGCTCCCTTCCCAAAAAACCCACCCTTGCCGGAGCCGCGGAGCAGCTCTGTGCGCGCGGCCGGGGTACAGCGTCCTCCTCGCACCGCCGTAGGGCAGGGCCCACTCCCCAAGCATCTCCTCGGGCAGAAGACATGTCCGTGGCATTATTTTATCCCCCAGTGTCCCACGGGAAGGGGACGTGGGGCTCGTGGACTACAGAAGTTGCTGTGGCAGCCGGTTGGCCGGTCCCCGCCATGGAAGAGGCAGGGAGCGAATTTGACAGGGCTGCAGGAGAGCAGGGAGCTGGGGGAGCCTGGGGTGGGCTACGAGAGCCGGCGGTGCGGCAAGGGAAGGGAGGGCAGAGCCAGAAGCCTTTCACCGGCCTCGGCGCTGCTCGGCTGCAGGAGGAGGGCTTTCCTCCCGCATCTGCTACCCACAACCGCGCCCTGGGCTGCGGTTTCTGCTCTGCCTTCGCTGACGAGTTGTGGGAGGTGATGGGAAGAAGACAGGGCAGCTGCGATGAGGAAGCAGAGGGGCGTGAGGCTGAAGAACGAGGAGGGATAAAGCCTGGTAGCCGGCCCGTTGTCCCGGCTGCCCAGCACCCCCGCCAATGCCTCCCGCAGGCTGCTCTGCAGCAGGGTGACCTTCTCCCCCGCCGGCTCCGCGGGGCTCAGCATCTCTGCTGGCAGGAATGGCCCCCGGTAGTCGGGGCTTTCCAGCTTGGCAGCAGCGTTGATGTGGATGAGCTTCTGCCGTAAGTTCTGGGCCTTGAGGGACTGATCGCCTGGCGGGAGGAAAGAAGCCGAGCTGGAGACATGGCCCAAAGCCCCAGCCCACAGCGGGGTCTCCCTCTTCATCCGATGGCCTGTGTAGCCTGTCCGACTGGGATTCCCAGTTCCGATCCCCCCACGATGGGTCCCTGCCTGCTGGCGTTGAGACACAGACCACCACCGGCCAAATGCCAGGGTTCCTGGCCTTGCTCCAGCTGCCAGGCGCTCGCAGGAAGCCACCGCGAGCTGGCTGAGCCCAACAGGGCCCTCCAGCCCCACTGGAGCCACGTCTGGGGTGTGATTTTATCCCCGGGGTCCCACAGACTACAGAAGCTGCCGCGGCAGCCGGCTGGCCAGCCCCCGCCACGGAGGAGGAAGGGACTAAATCTGACGGGGCTGCACCTCCCCAGCAGTCACCGTTTTGTTAGGAAATACCAAGCCCTCCCATCTCTTCTCGAAGCCTTGGGGAAGCGCACAGGCGGTGCCAGAGCAGAGGAGCAAGCTGCGCCTTAGGGCACGCGATTTCCACGACAAGGTTGAGGGCAACGCGTCACCCTGCTGCGGTTCAACCCTGCAGGCACCGCTCCAGCCCTATAACATTCAGCTTCGGGCTGGGCAGGCAGAAGAGCAGGCAGGACCCGAGGAGGAAGGCAGGAGAGCACAGGGAACGAGAAGGGAAGGCAGGAGCAGGACGGCATGGAGGAGGACAGCTTGAGTGGATCCCCTTCGCCGTCACTGTTTTGTTCTCCTTCTCCCCCATCGCACACAGGCACGAATCCACAGCCCAAGGGGGCTGCCGGAGCTGGAGGCCGTGGCTCTCACTAGCCCAACTCCCCTGGTGCTGCTGCCCTGCGCTCCCCTTGCCCAGGCACCCTGCACAGAGCTGTGGGAGGGATCTGCTACAGCCACTCCCAGTGGGATCGGTTCCCTCCTGGTTAACAGTTAACAACCCGTTAACTCAAATTTAGCCGGACCAGGCTCAGCACCCCCACTCCCTGCCCCAGGCCTGAGGTTCTCAGTCCCCGTCCAACCAGCAGAGACGCCCACCTCACCTCGGATCCGAGTGTGGAAGTCGGGCGCCAGCACTCGCTGCAAGTAGGGAGCCTTGGCCTGCTGCAGCACGCAGAGCGACCACACCAGGTCCGTCAGCAGGTGAGGCTCCAGGCCGTCCAGCTGGCTCTGGAGCTCCTCGTGGACCTGCAGAGAGGGAAACCGAACAGCTCAGCTCGGCTCAGCGCTGCCCACACCTCGATCCCGAGGTGAACGCACAGGTCTGGCAGCTCGACAGACCCCTGAGGCGTTACGGTGCACCCGATGCGCCCTGTCTCCTCTCCAGCAGTGCTTCCCCGCTGGGTTATTTGCGGAGGGGAGATTTTAAAATCGCTCTAATGTGACCCTGCAGCTCGTGAGCTGTGGTTCGCTGGCCCAGAGTGCCACATTGCTGCAGGGGGCTCATCAGAAAGCCCAGCAGCAAGCCACAGCAGCCAGGGGTAACGCGCCACAGCAGCCAGCCCTGCCACGAGGGCAGCGCTCAGAAAAGGCAGGGCTGGAGGCGATAACCTCTTCAGGATCTGCAACTAAAACCTGCCGTAAACGGAGCTGGAGGGGTCTGAGGCTGTATCAGTGGTGTCAGGATGTCTGTCCAGGAATCACAGCAAGAGCCTGGAGCTCTGCACCCTGCAGGGGTTTCTCCTGTTAACCCTGGAGAACTTTTCTGCAACGCCTCAAAAATGAGTAGTTTTGCACTTGCTACAAAATCCCTCTTCATGGTGGCCACGATTAATGCTGGCCCTGGATGCTACTTCCACACTTTGCCCTTCTTGCTGCCCCGGGGAGAACCCCTGCTCCCCAAGCTGGCCTGGCCATGGGCGACAGGCTGCCCTGTGGTGGGATGCAGGGTCCTGCTGGTTAGAAACACCCGTATCTGGGTCCTCTTCCTCCTCAGCCGCGCGTCGCAGGTGGGGCTGGGCAGGCCACGCTCGGCGAATGCCCGCTTACTCAGCAACAACGCAGCTCCTCTCTGGAAATCGTCAGCATAAATCTGTCCCCGAGGAGGTGAAGGTGACTTCTTCCTCCGCTTCAGAGGCCAGCCTGGCTGCCTCCACCAGCCGGGGAAGGCAGGAGGACGCCAAGGACAGCCCCTGCCCCACGCTCGCCTCCTGCCAGCCCCTCACTAAACCACGCAGGAGGCTTCCCCTCTGTTTGGCTGTTCCAGCTGCTCAAGTCTCCTCACCCCGGCAGGAAGACAGCGAGCACGTCTGCCCGTGGCAGCCTCCATCCTTCTCACCAGCTCCCCAGAGCCAGGGGAGCAGCCTCAGCGCTACCAGACTGAGGGCTTGGCTCGGCCGGGAGAGCCACACAGCTCTGCCAGGAACGGCCGTGCAACCGTCACCGCCTATGGCCTCGTTATAAAGAGTTAATTACAGCAACTGGAGTTCAGGAGGGCACGTGAACACCCACACGCTGCTTGCATCTGCTAGAAAAGCGAGCCTGCGGGGACTCGAGCCAGCCATGGACTAACTGGTTCAGCTACTGCCCGGCACGCAGCCAGGGGAGCGCAGTGCGGGTTTTTAAGCCTGGGCTGAGCTCTGGGCTCCCCCTTCCCACAACATTAACGGCTGGATTGAGCCATCCAACACCCACTTTTGCACGTGGATGTGCTAGAAGGAGACGTGCAGCCTTCCCACCGATGAGGGAGGGAGGAAGGTTGATGAAGAGGAGGAAAAGAAGGTTACCATGTTGAAGAAGTCCTCGCTTCCACTGGGCTGGAAGTTCAGGCGAGCAAAAGACAGGATGATACTGCACAGATGGGTGACCGACAACTGCTTGGTGCTGTCCATGGCATACTGGAAGATAGAGGGGGCAAAACCAGAGGTTTAGGTCTGTCCTACAGGAGTACGGACAGGAGAAGATGGAAAGCGTCAGCCAAGGACGCATCCGGCCCCATGGTGAGATGGGAAAACACGAGCGCAAGATCTTTTAGTGCTTCCCCGGGATTTTATCTCGGCACAAGGGAAAGCCGTGAGTGGGAGCAGAGCTCTGTAATATTCCGGTACGGATGCAAAAGTGCAGGCGCATAAACTGGGGCAGAGCTGGGAAGGCGCCTGGGGACAGAGGCAGCGCTGGCACTCGGGAGCGGAGGCTCAGACAGAGCCGGGACTGGCCCCAGCTCAGCACGGCTTCCCAGCGCTGACTTTAGCGGAAGATGAACAGCGAGTCCTGTCAGACTCGATTACAGCCACCGGCTGGGTAGGGAAAACAGTGACGACATCTCAGAGAGCATCTCTGAAGAGGTGGGGAGAAACTGCTCCCATCTCCTGGGAACTGGGAGGGGATCACAGTCATACTGGTGCCACTGGGGGCTTCCCTGTCCCCCCCAAGCCCCCTCCTCCTCACCTGCGCGATGGCCTCAAACAGCGGCAGGCTGAGCCACTTGAGGAGGGCAAAGGATCTGATGCAGCGCGTCACCTCGATGGGCGTCATCGTGGGAACGTGGGGGTGCAGGTCGGTGGCTATCTTCTGGAAGACCTGGGGCTGGTGGAAATTCAGTTTTCCTTAAAGGAGCAAAGAGAAAGCGGCAGCCACTTACAAGGAGCTGGTACGGGAGCTGCGCCTGGCCGGGCGGCAGCAGCACAAGGGAAAGCACGAAGCCGTTCATTAGGAGCAGAGGAGGCTGGGAGACCGGTACTGCCTCCCCCAGCTGGCCTGGCCCCATCCTTTCTGGTCAGACCAAGTCTCTGCCGGGTCCTACCGCACCCACCAGCTCTCAATCCCAGTGCCAACTCATGGCTCCAGCCTCCACCCAGTGCTGGTAGCAGATTTTAGCCCAGTATCTCCATCTACAGATCCTGGTCTGGCCAGGAGAGCCCAGAACTCGCTAAGGCTACTGGGAACCTCACGCCAGGCAAGGAACAAGCAAGCAACGATCAGCAACCGGCAGCACCGAGCCCTGGAGGTCGGCGTGGACCAGCCAGGAGGGGACAGTCCCCATGAGAGGGGCACAGGCAGTGTCAGAGACCGGCTGCAGCAGCCACGAGAGGTACAAACCACCCTGATGCAATGACGCGGCAGCTACAAGCATCGAAGAGAAACGTCGGCGCCGCGTGCCAGCATCCCAGCCGAGAGCATCCCCACCGCAGCGGCTACAGCGCTGCCAGAGCCTGCAGGAGCCAGTCGTGCTCCCAAACCACGTCCAGCCGTTGTAGTTGTCCACTTTGTACGTTTTTAAGGCTGGGGAACTGCTGGATTGCCCTGTCCGATCTCTGCGTCTGACCCAGGCCCGTATATACCATCCGGCTGCCCTTCCTGAGCTGGAGCACCTACAGCCCGGCCCCCGAGAAAGGTGCCCAGCACGGATTTGGAGGCCGCGACATGGAGCATCCACCGCTTTCCTTGAAACTCGTTCCAGATTAATCAACTTGACAGCAAGTAAGCCGGTACCATCAACGAGAGAAGCACGAGCTCCCCCCAAGGCCGGGTCTACTGGGGTTATTTCTTTATTTTGAGTGTGTAGCTAACCCACGGAAGCTGTCCTGGCCCCAGTGGTTGTCAGAAGAGCTGTTCCCACCACCAGGAGCTGGACAATCAACTGAAAAAGAGCTCCTTCTTGGCTCTCCTGGCTTCCTTTATCCCTGTTTGTCCGGGCTTTATCCCTGTTTGTTAGTCTGGGCTTTCCACTGGCTACCAACAGTAAGAGGAGGGCAGGAACACGCAATACTGTACGGAAAGAGGAACCAGAGAACTAAGACGCCCGGGATCATAAACCAGGTTATCAATGAGTGCTACCCCACTGCTAACAGAGCTGTTTTGCACCAGGTTCTGTCACCATCGAGTATGCGGTGGCTCTGGTTTACCCCGCGGCCAGGAACACCACCAAGGTGGCTGTCCCTGCCCCGAGCGTCTGCCAGCGCTTGTAAAAGTACTTGCAGCATCTCACCTGCTGAAGAGCGTGGATTCAGCACCCAGCGCTTCCCCAATGACAATGAACTTGTCACTAGGACATCTTGGGTGGAAAGAAATCGGCTATTTCGGTGCCGCTGTCCCCACGTAAAAAGCCCAGCCCTCCTGCTACCGAGGGCGGTGTTTTGCAAGTGAGGAAACAGAGGCAGGGGCTCCCCAAGAAACCCACGGGAGGAGGTGAGAGAGGATTTGGGGCCATTTGGGGGATCCCAGCTCACCAGCTGCCTACGCCGCAGGGCGGAGGGGCTCCCTGGCACCCCGACCACCCTTCTGAAGCGCTCTCTCATCGCAAGTTCCCTGCTTCCCATGCACTGGAAGGAAAACCGGGGTGTACCACTGCCACGAGCTGCGCTAACCGCACCGTACACCAGAGAGGCACCAGGCGTACCTGGGCTGGGAGCTGGTACTACCCAGCTGTGCTGGCCGGTGTGCTAGGTCCAGCCTAACGTACCCTGCCAGCCTTTCTCCTTCACCTGGCCTTGACGCCGTGGTAGCAATGCCATCAGATCCCCACTTGACTGCCCAAAATCAGCCGGGCTCTGCCACACGTAACATCCAGCAGGTCCCAATACAACCGAGCCGCTTACCAAAGGCGAAAATCAGGTCCATCAGGACGTTGAGGCTGAGCTCAAAGTGCTTCTGAATCAGGTGGTAGGACAAGGCTCGGAGCAGAGGCACGCAGCGCCGGTTCTGGTAGGCTAGAGCCAGCGTTATTTTCCGGATGTCATCGGGGTTGAACTGTTCAGCAAGTTCCAGAGCCTGCCAAGAAACGTTTGGAGCAGGGATGTAAAGGGAAAGCAGAAAGAGAGGGGCGGATACAGGCTTTATTCAGAGCGGGATGCACCATCGCTACCGGCAGAGCCCCTCCGAGGCTGATGGGGAGTGGAACTGGCGAGCACGCAGCGAGGCTAAGCGGCTGGGAGCCAGCGTAACGGCTCACGCGGAGGGAGGGCAAGGGGAAGCAGACCCTCGTCCTCTCAGCCAGGATCTCCCCGCTGCCGGTTCTGCCTCCCCCAGCCGGCAGGACCTCGGCGTCCACTCCTGTTGTGTATCCAGGCACCGTAACACGCTGTCAGGCAAAGACCGACAGAGGAAAGGCACCCGTTGCTGGATCAGCACCCTGCTTTCCACTGGAATTTCTGCTTCGTTTGCAGGACACTAACCCAACATCGTTAGTTTGGGCTCTGCATAAGCAGACAACCCCGTCAGATCCAGCTACAGCATTCTGCCTTGTCACATGCCGGTGTCTGTAGCATTTATTTATCCCCAGGGTCGAGGGAGAGGGATGGTGGGGCTCATAAGCTACAGATATTGCTGTGGCAGCCGTTTGGCCAGTCCCCAGCATGGGCTGGACGAGGACTGAATTTGACGCAGCTGCAGTCAGGGCTCCTGCAGTGATTCCGACCCAAAGGACATTTCCCTGCTCCTGCAAGCGACAGAAACAGGGACCCACTGAGCACCGGAGGGGACAGACCTGCCCCCTTTGAAGCTGACGGGTGCCCAGAGGCAGCCAGAAGGCGAGGACAGCACGGACGCTCCTCATCCCAGCTCCCCGCACAGCCTGGCTTGTACAGAGAAGCAAAGGACCATGTTTTTGGCAGCTGTGTTATGCTGGCTCTGTAAGCTACCGCTTGCCAGCTGAGCTAAGGAAATTCGAGCGGGTTCTCTGCGAACCTGCCGCAGCTGCAAAGTAAAACGCATCAGCTCAGCCCACCTTCCAGCAGCGCAGCCCAGTGCGAGTCACCCACTCGCACCAGTACGGATTGGGAAGGGGCTGGTGAGTGCAAACCCCCCCGTCTACATGGCTCCTCAGATGGAAACCCCTCTTAGATGCACCCGTGCACGGGAAGCTGCTCGAACAGCAACCCGTAAGCGCACACCAAAGCACTCTGGTGCAGCAACGAGCGCAGCCTGTGTGGAATTAGCGTTCCCGTGGGTTGAAGGGGACGGGGTTCTCCCTCCTACTGTTGTCACCTGCAGGGAACGGAGGCGGAAGGGAGAGCCCGAGCCCCTACCTTGTCCTCCAGCCGGTCCATCAGTGCTGGGGACACGTGCCCGACCTTGCCCATCAGCGTCACCACGGTTCGGGTGCCCTCAAGCTCTGTCCAACGCAGCTCCAGCTTCTTGATGACTTCGTTCAGCAGCTTGCTCTCCTTCCCCTGCTTGACCACCAAGAACTCTGCCAGGGAGGCGAGCTGCCTGAAGGTGAGACGCCGCAGCCGCCACAGCACCTCCTGCTCCACCGACTGCATCTCCCTCCTGTTGCTGTTCACCCCCAGGGAGTAGAGGCTCTTCAGGAGGTTCACCAAGGTGTTATTCCACACCTGAGAAATCTGGGCAGCGAAGAGAAATAAGGGAAAGGTGTTGATCAGAGAGAGCACGAGAGCATTCAGTTGCCAGTCACGCCAAACACCAGGCAACACTCTGCCTCTACAGAAAGAGCTGCGCAGCGTTGAGGGGGAAGCAGGAGAGTTCTCCTCAGTCCGAGGACATCCAGGTGTCCCCCACCATGACGCGACGCCTCTGCTCCTCCTCATTGGTGTAGCCTGCACAGTCAGAGACAGACCGGAGCGACCAGGGGACGAAGAGGAACCTCAACGCCTGTACCACAAGCCGAAGCCACGCACCGATCCCAGCGGCATGGATGAGGCTTGAGAGGTAACCACACATCGCTTATAGAGCTGCCGTGCAGGCGGTGAACTCTCTCTGCGTCAGAGAAGGAAGCTACGCAGATTTGCTAGCGGCTGGGTGAAATATTTAAGTAGACTTCACCCTTCTCTGGAGGCACTTAAGCTGTGGCATGGCTGGGATATGACACGGGTGGCTGGTAAAACAAAAAGCAGTGGGAAAGAGAATTCAGGGGCAGAAACTTGAAGGTCTCGGGGGATGCCACGGGACTCCGACTCGCCTCAGCACCTCAGGTCAGATGAAATTTATCCTAAAAGCTCCGATTTCTCTCCAGTGACTCCAAAAGGAGGCCGGGCACAAATCCCACTGGCTGCAGGGAACAAGAGGACTTGCCCAGTCCCACTCTCTGCCCGCTGAACTCCTCTGCCTGGCCACTGCTGGCTGCTTTCCCGCCGGCAGCCCCGACGTGAGGCAGAGCTCGTGATTTTCCACCAGCAATCGGTCTTCCAGCTTTCACCTCCTTTGGCACCCATCAGTGAATGCCAGGAACCTCTTTATTTCCAGCCCCGACCTTCCCCAGCTGTACTCTGCTGCTGCCGTGCAGCACTAAAAGGCAATTCCAGCCGGAAAGCTCTCCTGATTTGTATAAAACCAAACCCGATCCTTAGCACAACGTCAGTTCTGACGGGCCCTTCAGAAAGCATCACTGCGCCAGCCGCCCCGGTACAGAGCACAGCGGCTGCTTGACAGAATATTCAACGTTACAAAATTATTTCAGAAACAGGGAGTTGCTTCTCGGAGCGACCGCGCAGGAGGCAAGCGAAGCAGTGCTGTGAGACGTTGAATTTCAGGCAGGAGGGACCCTGCGGGTTTGGGGAAACAAAGGCTTTAACTCTCTGGCCTGTCCAAACTCCAGTGCTTCCACCGGCACGGCGAATTCCGAAAGTGCTGCTCAGGCACGGCTCAGCACCTCGGGCACAAGAATGACCTGAGCGCTGCCCTGGGGGGCTACTAAAATCAGAAAAATCATAGTCTGGGATGCAGCTGAGAAAGCCATCAGAGCTCGTGATTTGCCCCGGCTTACTCAGAAGGTCACAAGGAGAACCAGATTGCTCCCCTGGCCGGTCCCTCGCCTTTTTCACCTGTTCACGCGTACAAAACTCATCTCGCGGTCTGTTACGAGCCCTTTCCCTCAACGCTGTCCTGGCCCACACCTCACCTACTGTTCAAAATCTCCGGCTCGTCGACACAAGGACATCACAAGTCAATTAATTTTAAGTTTTTTTTCATCAGGGAGTCTCTGCATCTACACAACAACCTCTTACATTCAGTTAGCTACGACTGCGGCTGCAATAACAGCTCGTTGGAGAAGGATAATTGCGTTTGCAGCGAGTTTGCTTGCTTTACATCTCAAAATCCCTAGCCACGTCCCTCTTGGCAGTTTCCTACACTTATACAGCGGCATGGAAGCATTTCAGCTCAAGGGAGCCAACCGGGCACCCTCAGGACAAATCCCACCTCTCTGCTATCCTTGGACAGGTTTTAGGGAGCAGAGATTATGGATCAGGAGAAATAAGAAGCGCCCGGCACAATCGAGGACAGCCTGGTGGAGGAGGACTTGGGGGTACTGGGGGGTGAAAAACGGGACGTGAGCCGGCCACGTGCTCTCGCAGCCCAGAAAGCCATGCGTCTCCTGGGCGGCATCAAAAGAAGCGTGGCCAGCAGGGCGAGGGAGGGGATTCTGCCCCTCTGCTCTGCTCTCTGGAGAGGAGAAGGCTCCGGGGAGACGTTTTTGTGGCCTTTCGATATATAAAGGGGCTTATAAGAAAGATGAAGAAAGACTTTTTACCAAAGCCTGTAGCGACAGGACGAGGGGCAACGGTTTTAAATGGAAAGAGAGGAGATTTAGATTGGATATAAGGAAGAAATTTTTTATGAGGAGGGTGGTGAGACAGTGGCCCAGGTTGCCCAGAGGTGGTGGACACCTCATCCCTGGAAACATTCAAGGCCAGGCTGGACGGGGCTCGGAGCACCCTGATCTGGTTGTAGATGTCCCTGCCCATGGCCGGGGCGCTGGCCTGAGTGATCTTCAAAGGTCCCTTCCAACCCAAACCACCTTGTGATCCCAGGACGCGGGGCCCACGAGCTGCAGGAGTTCCCGTAGCAGCCGGCTGGGCGAGCATGGACTGCAGCAGACGGCGCTGCCGAGGTCTGACAGTACGACGTGTCGCGCGCGGTGCGCTGGTTCCCTTCGGATGCTCCCATCTCACCCGGTGGCTTCTCCGCTGTCCGGCTCTGACATGTCTTTGCCACAAAACTGGCAAAGACGCAGCTTTATCTTACCGAGAAAACTAAAAATTCATGGGAACAGGAGCAAGGCATCATTTAACAAGGACGATCTCTCCACTACATTTTGTCTCTGGTCCAAAAAGCAGCGCTTTTAGATAGAAATAATCAGGCATCCTGCCTAGAGCTGATAATTTCACCTCCTGGTCCCCTCAACTTCATCTTTTACTTGGAAAGGCAAAGTACAAACCCTAAACAAGCAGCCGGCCACGCCGGTTCAATCCCAGGAGCACCGTCTGCTTTCCACCTCGTATGCTTTCCCCAAAACGCTTCCGTGGCAAGGAGTGAACTTACCTGGGAATCCGTGATGGTGATGAGCTGTTGGAAACGTTCATCTTGCAGAATACTCTCCGTTTCCAGTTTTTTTTCCACTGCAAGGCGGGAAAGTTGAGTAATTATTAGCGAGGCTTCGTTGCTATTAAGAGCATGGAGTTCGCTCAACTGGAGGAGTTCCTGAGGACTCGTGGCCGTTTCAATCACTTCCCCGATCACTTTGTGCTCTGGATTTCCGCTGTCCTCCACCTGCTCTCTGACTGAGAATCCATCTGCCCAGCTGGAAGGGCTCAGAGTACGAAATAAAGCGAACGGTGCTTGAGGCAGAGCTCTTGCCATCGCCACCTTCCCCACCGGCACCAGCAGAGAAGCCGGGACCGCCGAGGGAGTAGAGAGGAAGGCACCGAGGTGCCGCCAGCAGCAGCGTCGCACCAAGCGGGCTGCCATGGTGGAAGGCGAGGGGGGAAGGAAGGAAGGCCGGGGGCGGGAAGCGGCTGGAGGTCAGCGCCGCATTTCAGGAACGCTACGGAAGGAAAAGAAACCCTTTAGGAGCGGGAGAATTTCAGAGGGAAAAAGGAGGAGGCAGCCGATTTATCATAGAATCATAGAATCGTCAAGGTTGGAAAAGACCCTTAAGATCATCGAGTCCAACTGCTAACCTATCACTGCCAAGTCCATCTATACCATGTCCTCAAGCACCGTATCTATCCGTCCTTTAAATACCTCCAGGGGTGGAGACTCAACCCCTTCCCTGGGCAGCCTGGGCCAGTGCTTGACCACCCTCTCGGTGAAGAAGTTTTTCCTAATGTCCAACCTAACCCTGCCCTGGCGCAGCTTGAGGCCGTTTCCTCTCATTCTATCACTCGTTACT